TGCCTCCAGGTCAAGCTCCATCCATGCTTCAAGTTAGAGTTTCCCTGGCCACGAAACACCGAGAGGGTAGCTATGCGCGTCCACCAGCTCTGAAGTTCCAAGACGCAACATGACTTTTTTTAAGAATGGTTGCACATACACATGCTTGACACGATTTCAGTTCTGAAACCATTATGCATGTTTGCACACTGAAAAACTGCTGTCCCTGCCAGTAGAAATGCAATGTAGCATGTGGATGCACTACCAAAGAACCTACTTCAGAACCGCAAACACAGCACACATGTCACCAGACTCCAAGGACAAGCGCGGCAAACGTACTAAACGCGCCTTAAACCTAAAACCCTAAATCCTAAATCCTAAACCCGAAACTGTGAACCCTCAACCCTACATGGATTTAGTCTGGCTTATATAACAAGGAACCCCCAAAATAGTAGAGGCAAGTATTAAGGCCCCTACATTCTGTCTCAAATTTAGGATTTAGGGTTCAAAGTCATAAACCTCCGAAGACCTGCCAGAACCCGTCCAGAGCCGATGCAACCCCCCTCTTGGAGGTTCATGGGTAGTTCTAAGTGGGGTTGCCCATGAACCTCCAAGTAGAACGCTTGTAGCACCGTAAACTGCAATGAGGGCTACACTATGAGGCTACCGTAAGAATCTCGGTCTTGCCGCAGGAGTGGTGGCATACTTTTTGGACATTCAAGTTTCGGGAATGAGGACTGTAAGGCTGAGGGCATGGTAGCTGTAGGCTACAGGCCCTAAACCCTAAACCCTAAGCCCTAAACCCTAAGACTTCCCTAAACCCGAAGCCCTAAACGCTAGATGTCCCTACACCCTAAACCCGAAGCCCTAAACCCTAGATGTCCCTAAACCCTACGCCCTAAACCCGAAAGGGCTTCGGTCGGGAAGTTTTGGGGTTTGGGGTCTAGGATGTGGGAGTGTAGGACGTCAAGAACCGCACTAAGGTTTGGGACGTTTACCACTTTCAGGGCTTAGGGTTTAGGCGTTTAGAAGGCTTAGGGTTTAGGGCTTAGGGTTTAGGGGTTTAGAAGGCTTAAGCTTTAGGGCTTAGGGTTTAGGGGTTTAGAAGGCTTAGGCTTTAGGGTTTAGGGGTTTAGAAGGCTTAGGGTTTAGGGCTTAGGGCTAAGAAGGCTTAGGGTTTAGGGTTCAGGGTCTGGAGATGTTTCCCCGAACCCCTGCGGCAGAGCGGCTTGACGCATTGAGCCGTGTCCGCGATCCACGTTTGGAAGAGCCTCTGGGGCGGGTACAGCACGCGCACCAAGATGGGAGATAAGGTTAAAGGTTTAAGGAAACCCTAAACCCTAAACCCTAAACCCTAAACCCTAATTTAAGGCTT